CTTGACCTTTTATAACCAATTTTGCTTCGTTTTCTCAAAAAATGCGAAAAACTGATTTTTCAATCTGAACAAAACCAATAGATTCACACGTGAAAACGGTGTGAATATAAAAAAAATTTTATATCCTAAAATAGATTTTATATTCACACCGTATTCACTTTATTTTCGTTCAGCTTGAAAAACAGTTTTTCGCATTTTGAGGAAAAAAAGCAAATGGGCAAAAACAGAATTTAAATTGGCTGTAGCATTGATGGGAAAATCGCATGATACGTAAGCAAACAAGCATCAAGGCAAGTAAATCAGCAAAAATCTCAATAACGAGGCATCTTAGAGACTTCAAATTATTGCATTTTGATTCTTGCTGCGTTAAAAAGGATAAGGCTTAATTTTTTTATTGGGTAAGGTAGAAACAACCATTGCTTCCAAAAAAGCAAAAAACCCTGCATCCTCTATCCTGCATCACGTGAACTCAAATTTTGCCAATGACAAAAATGATAAAAACGTGATTTATTAGTTGCGCACGTTTTAAATTTTGAAAAACTTCATTTCAAAACTATTTGCAAAAACAAAAAATTGAAAATTTTGTGTGAATATGATTTCTTGAGTGAAAAGATCTTTGATACATTAAACATCTAGGCTCTAGGCTTTTAGAAAATTTACAAAAGGCATAAAAAACCAAGTTTTCAACTTAAACATTCAACCAATATTTATGTTTTCTTCATATTTAAGTTTTTAGAATAATGAAATTGACAAATTAATAAGCGGGATTTTTTTTGAATGAAAATCCTATTAGATAATAAATCCACTTATTAATACAAGTGGAATTATTATCCACTATGACAAATAAGTTTTTGGATTTAATTTAATCCATAATTTTAATCGTGTTCCATAAAGATAATAATCCCACTTAGAAATGTAAGTGAAATTATTATCTACCTGGGAGATAATAATCCCACTTGTAATTATAGGTGGGATTATTATCTTCCCGGAAGGATAATAATTCCACGTGTATTTCTAAGTGGAAATATTATCCCGCAGGGAACATTTAAAAATTTGCGATTTTCGGGGTTATTATCCCGCAGGATCGTGGAATTAATATCTTTCGGGGATTTTACCCCCCATCGTATCTCTTAAGAGTCTCAAATCTAAGGTAGCTATATCCTTGGTACCATGAAAATGATTTTGAAAAATAAAATGAGTCAGATTTATCCCCAAAAAAATGGTTAAATACAAAAAAATCTTCAATTACATCCCCCAAAATTGCAACGCAGAACAAAACAAAGTGAAAAAAAATTAGGATATAGAATGAATGGAAATGGAAGTAAGAAGACAGAAACTTTTTCTATAGGCAATAAGAAGAACATTTAAAAAAAGTTTATTCACTAAATCAATGTTTTTTGGATGTTTTGTATAAAAAATGAAGTTAAATATCAAAAAAGTAATAAGAATAGTAATACTATTAATAATAATAAATAAAGAAGAAAAAACACTAATTAAACTCACGATGTGCTTATTTTTTTCAAATCAAATGTGAAAACTTGTGTAAATCGTCCAGTTTTTTTACAAAATGGAAATAAAAAAAAACGAATTGAATGATTATTGATGATGATGAATTGCGTTGAGTGAATGAACCGAGTCCTTATACCTTTTTAAACTAAATAAAATATAGATGTCTACATGTCTTTCAAATATTTTATTATTTATACACGTGATGAAGATAAGAATTAAGATGAAATAAAAAAAATACTTTTTATTTATGATGAATTTGTAAATAAAACTTCGAAATGTGAGAAAATAAAACTTCTAAAGATTACCATTAATGATGAAAATCAAACGTGTGATATGCTAGAAACGACTTTTTATTAAATTATGATAAGTAAGAAATTTAAGAAATTTTCAATCAAAAATCAAAAAAAAAATATTTGTTTTCAAGTAATTGGATAAATGATTCCTTATTCTATAACTTAATCTGTTTTTCTTCTATTTATAAATGAAAGTTCTTACATTCTCAACTATTTTAATGTTCCTAAATCAACTTTTTGTAGTGAATTCAGCAATTTTTAAAAATTCATTTTAAAAATTTTGTTCAACAATTAGTTTTTAACTTTGCAAAAAAAAACAATGATTCGATTGATTCCTACTTTAAACAGTTATAAATTTTTTTAAACTATTTATTTCTTTATTTTCAAATATTTTGAATTTAAAAATTTAATAAAATCAAAAAAGTTAAATTTGTTTGAAAACATAATTTGAACGAAATTAATTTTTTTGCACATTTGTAATATATTCTTTAATTTGCTTGAAAACCATTAAAATGACTTTAGTTTAATTTTTTTTTGTAAAAGCTACCTTAAAATTATTGAATAAAAACTGCACAATTGACACTTAAAAAATTGCACTTTGTATTTTCCCACACATTTATCTCATAAACTGAAGAAAAAAAACTATTTTAAATTTTTCAATGTGGTCAATTTTTTCCAATTTAATAAAATCTAAAAACTCATTTCCCTACTTAAATTAACTTTAAAAATCTTTAAAACAAAATACGAAGAAAAAAACTGTAAATCGTAAAAAAAGATGAAAAATAATTTAAATTTCTCTTTTGTCTCTTGGAGGATTGTAAGACTTAATAAATTTAAATTTAAATTCATTGAAAAAAAAATGATGAACAAAATTAATTCAAAATTCAAAATTTAAGAACTACGAAGTAAAAAAATTGTAAAAGAACGAAAAAAATTAAATGTAAAATTGTAGAAATTATTTATTCGAAATTTGAAAAAACAAAATTCATAAACACAATTATGAGAAATTAAAAAATATATATAATTTGATGTTGTGGCCCGCAAAAAAATTAATTAGAAAATCTTATAGTGTTGATCCAATATAAAAAAAATTAATTCTATTCATTGGTATCAAAAACAAAAAAAAATTGAAATCATAAAATTCACAAAAAAAAGATGTTGGCAAAAAAATATTTATAAATATTAATACAAAATTGCTTTCAGTGTTGTTTAGGTGAACTTAAATGAAAAACAAAAAATTAAAATATTTAGGAATATTTGAAAAAAAATCACACTCACACACTTAATAAAAACATGATTAAGAAAAAAAATTACAAAAAATTTAAAAATTCAACGAAAAAAAATGAGATGAGAAAATGAAAAGAGCCACAAAGATGGAAAATTCTTTTAGTTTTCTCAGTTTACTTCAAAGTTGGTGACTCGATAATGGCTGGGATTGTTAAGTTATTGTTGAAACTATGATTTACTAGCTTAATAAGTTGATGTTGTTGATGTCCCTAGTTTTGTTCATTAATTGCGTTTTCAAACGATTGTTGAACAAAAATTTTAAATTAATTTCCAAAATTAAGAAGCTGTTTAAAAGACCTTACACATTTTTAAAGGATATTATACATCAATTAAAGACCCTTAGCTTATTATTTTAATTTCTTCAAATTTTATTTTTTTTTGGTAAATTATATTTCAACAATTACATAATCGAAAGCTATCGTCCACCAACTCTGACCCTCTGTTCTGTACATACAATAACTTGTTAACTAAACTTATTTGTTACTCGAAACAAAAGTTTTATTTTAAATCGTAAAAATCTTAATTTTAAAGCCTTTAACTCAATCAAAACAAAGAAAAAACTTGCAATATGCCTGCCAATTATTAAGAAAAACATTAACAGATATACCGAAACCATAAAGCCGTACCAAAATAAACAGAAAATCAATAGACAAAAAACTACATAAATCGATTTAAGTTTAAAATGAAAAAAAAGAAGAAAAAAGCGAATTAATTAAAATTATTGCCGTGCAACAAAAACAAAAAAATTCAAGCAAAAATGTGAAAAATCTTTGTTAATTAATTTTGAATTAAACGAAAACTTTAAGTTACCAACTTCCTCTTCTATACACAATTACAACAATACCATTAAAAATGCTTAGTGAATTTAATGAATAATGAAAAAAATATTTGAACAACTCACACAACAAACAACAAAGCTCAGGAAGATTTTATTAATGAAAAAAAAAAATATACCGTGAATGAAAATAAAAAAAATCTAAAGTAATGAAAAAAAATTAAGGAAATAAAAAAAAAAGATTTTTCAAAACAGATGTAAAATTATTTTATCAGATGAAAAACATTTTAGAAAGTATTACAATTTTAATTCAATTTTTTTACAGAAAATATTTACAAAAATGACAAAATAAACTTAAAACTTAAATAAACAAGCCACAAAAAAATGCAATAAAATGGAATGATTTTGATGTTTATTTTACACTGAATTTTAAATAAAAAAACGAAGACAAAATTTCAAAATTGTAAATTGATTTGCAATACAAAATGTAAAAAAAATAAAATCTATTGAAAGTTTATTTCCTATTGAATTTGAATGACTACAACATTCACAAAAAAAATCACTATGTTTGATGAAAAAATGGAAATTATGAAAAATTGATTCAATTGAGAAGAAAAAATGAAAAACTCGGATGCAAAAAATTTAAGGAACGAAAAAAAAACTATTGATGTAAATTTTTAATTATGAAAAATGATGAAATAAAGGTTATTAAAACAAAGTTTTGAAATTTGTTTTTTAATATAATATTTCAAATTTTATTTTCAGGACTTCAAAATTTTATTTGTGTCAAGTCGAAATTGAATATTTCAAACAGAAGATGCACAAATTTCTTGATGATAGTCATTTGGTAATTTATTCATGTTTTTAAGGAATAAAAAGTTCAAAGTTTTGAAAAATTAAAATTTTAACGAACCGGATGCAAAATTGAAAAAACTTTCGATAATTTGAGTAAAAATGTTATAATTAAATCATAAGTTCCATTCATTCTTACCACAAACGCCATCTATGAAGCATTTTCCAAAATTATACTTGCATTCAAGTTCCAACTTGCATAAACTCAACCAAGAAAACTACGTGATTTCATATCTAGTATGAGATTTGAATTATCAAAAGAGTTTTTAAATTAGAACAAAAAATCAATTTTTAAAAACTTTATTAAAAAATAAAATTGTCAATATTTTTGGAATAACTAATGGGAAAAGTCATAACAATTTATAGATTTAAAATTATTTTATAGCTTTAGTCTCTAGCGATGCACTTTTCTCTATCATATTATATGTGAATTTATATGCGATCAAGTTTTATTTTGAGCTTTTTATTCTAAAATAACAAAGATTATAATTTTGATCAAATTATTGATCATATGATTTCAGATCCTGGGCAGTAGATCATCCAATAAACTATGTTGAATATGATGAAGAATATTGGATACACAATACGGCATATTTTGTCAGCACATGGAACTTTTGTTGATTCCTTATAATGTTCAGTGTTGGAAATGAAAGCAAATTCTAGAAAGAAAGAAATTTATAAAATTTCCGGATCTTTCGATAATCTCTTTTTTTACTCACCAACGAGTGACACGAACACAAGTGTCATACAAATTCCAGAATAAATATCCAAAGCTTTAACATATGACGTTTTCGGAACATAACTGTTTAGACATTGGAGCTCAACAATCAATGACAAAAGCCCAGCAATGCACATTACGAGACGAATATTTGAGGCATTTTTGTTCAAGAAGAAGCTGAGCCAAGCCATAATAACAACCATGCTGCATGGGATGTAAATTTGAATCAAATAATATTCAACTGATCTTTGGAATCCCAATGACACTGATATTCTTGAATAGTTGCCTGAAATTGTAAATATTTTAAATATTTTGATACTCAGAGTAAGAAAAAGAGTTCTTGAGGACAGTTTCTAAACGAATCCTGGAAACTTTCTAGTTTAAATGATATGAAATGAGTTCTTTTGTGTTGTGCACAGATCACCATTACATTATGGAAAACAATTCATAATATTCAAATAAGGAAGTATCGAGGATTCGTTAAAGAACTGTGAAGGTACCCATGGACCCCCATTTTGGATATCCAGTTTTAAACTAGACTATTTTAGAGATAAACTGCAAAAAAACTAAAATTATATAATTCTAGGTTCGTAAAGGCACCTCTTTGTTAGGTTTGTCTACTACTTGTCAATACTCTAGCTACTAAGCGGTGGCTCTAGATCCAATAGTTTCAAGTATAGATATCAAATTAACTCACCATGGGTTTGTGATATCAATTCATGTGATGTATCAATATTGGTGACTGAAAACAAAGGTAGAGTAATGTCACTGTTGACACCAACTGATTCTCTTTCATTGCGCCAATAAAATACAATGTCGTTTGCGTAATGACCGTCTGTGAAATAAGAATGAGAAATTTGTAAACAAAATTAACAATGAAATGATTTTTAAATAAAGATGGTAAATAAAAAATCATACAAAAGCACTTCTAGCAAGAGTTTACGTGATGCGAGGATAATATTAAATGAAAATGAAGCAATATGGATGGAGGGTGTGATTTATTTGGGTTGTTAGGAATCAGTTCTAAGGAATATAGTGTTGGGTTTAAGTGCTAAAAGACATGGTTTCAATCCTAGGTCATGTAAAGCTAGTAGCTTGTCGTTCACTTTACCGTTCTTTTTATGAAGCTAGGATTCATGGATCGGGTGTGGTTTTATAGTCTTTGGAAAGAATGAGTATCTTTTGCACATTTTGGCATAATATTTTAATAAGAATTTTTACTAATTAGTCCTGATTACAGTAAGGGATAAAGCCACACGTGGCAACTCTATGACAACGACCTTAAAGAGTATGTTCTCAGTCTTATAAAGTCTCAGACAATTGTTTCTCAAGAAACCACTCAAAATATTTAAAATACTAAGAAATCACTTAAAGGCTTGTCTATTTACCGCCCACTTATAATTCTACTGCTTATGTAACATCACTAAACTGTGTAAATTGCTAATAAATTGCATTAATAATTTTGTTGTTTGTTTGTTCTTTTTATGCTTTTTACGTCAGCAATTTATCATCGAAAAATATTTTTGTTATGAATACTTACAGCTTTCTATTGGAATTGTACAAATTTGTTTATCCATCGGATATTTCATAAAATTCATTGAGCATGAAAATGTGACACTTAATCTGAAAAAGAATTCCTTTAAGTTCAAATCCATGTTTTAAAATGTTTAAATCTAACCTCAAACTTTTAACAACATTTCCGGTCGAATCGATCCTATAAAACTCATTCTTAGTTGTGATTGCATGTAAAAATGATTCCTTCTCATTTACAAAAAATAAATCAGGCGTCCACAATCCTCTTCCGTACTCATATCCAGGTGAAATTGAAGCGATTGATGGTGTCTTTCTAAATGCTAGCCTTGGGTCATTCCAAAACTGTCGGAAATAAAAGTCCATTGTGTATTCCATGTCAGATTCAGAGAAGGAATGAATTGACAGTATGTACATTGATACTCCGACATTTACGGGATTTTCTAAGCAAAATTAAAGTCCAGAAAAATAAATTTGTCTTAATAAAAGATAAAGTTGACAAAATTGTCTTTTGTAGTCATAAAAGATGATGATGATTGTGTCTTTTTTGCATTATTATGATGATGGAAAATAAGAATAAATATGTAGGTTGAGGTTTGGACACACCTCGTGGAATTTAGCGGCTTTTCGCTGATTTTGATTTCGCTGATTTTTCAGTCAAGTCAATTCGACTTTTTAAAAATTCGCTGATTTTAATTTTTCGCTGATTTTTAAGTGATTTTTCGCTGATTTTAAAGTGGTTTTCGCTGATTTTTTAAATTAAAATTTCGCTGTTATTTTAATTAAAAATCGCTGATTTTTCGACAAATTTCACTGATTTTTCGTAAAAAATTCGCTGATATTTCACAAAAATTTTAATGTTTTTTCTAAATCTCTTAATGCAATCTTTTTTTGAATCAGTGAAATTGATAAAAAAAAATAAACAGTTTGATAGTATTGCGATCCTCGTCAAAAGAAAACTTAAACATTGGCTTGAACCAAGCTACAATAAAAAACTAATGGAATGCATTGGAATCAAAGTGTTCAGCAATTTAACAACTAGTTATCACATCCGCTCAGTCTAACTCACAGGAGCAAGCGCAGGAATAGAAATAAATGTACATTTAAATCAACAAAGATGATAGGAAACTTCTACATCTGTGGTGCCTTCAACACAAAACATCGAGATTGAAAATGCATCAGAGATTTAACCATCAAACCAAACGGCGAATAGCAAATTATTGAATGATAAGAATCCAGAATTAACAGCTGAGAACAAGTTTGTGAGCATCATAAGAAATCTGAAAAATCCTAAAGCTCCGGGACTAGATGAAGCCAACAACATACTCATTAAAAAGCTTCCTGAAAAAGCTTTCGAATCCTTAAAGTTCATCATCAATTCGTATCTCAAACTTAATTACTTCCTCAAAATTTGCGCGCTACTGTTCCTCGTTTTCTATTCAATCTTTTTGTAAAAGGAAAAATTATAGTCAAAACCAGCGGAATTCACGAAAGTTACATCTACTGTAAGTCCAGCTAAGCACTTGTCTAAGCAATAAACACCATCTGTATTCACTAGCTAGATGTTATTTATACACATTAAACTACAACTGTAAATTACAGCTGTAATTTGATTTTTACGTAACGACGTAAGTACATCTGTAATCTACAGCTGTAATTTTAGTACATCTGTAATTTGATGCTAAATAGTATAGGGTCAATCAGCAAAATTTTGATAAAAAATCAGTGAAATTTTGATAAAAAAATCAGCGAAATTTTAACTTTACAAAATCAGCGAAATTTTGATAAAAAAAATCAGCGAAATTTTAACTTTAAAAAAATCAGCGAAAAATCACTCAAAAATCAGCGAAAAATAAAAACCAGCGAATTTTTAAAAAAGTCGAGTTGACTTGATTAAAAAATCTGCGAAAAGCCGCTAAAATATATTGAGTATATTTATAAGGAATTGTTCGTTAATTACGTCCATCAAATTATTTAATTTTTAGATCCCCCTCGACTCTTCTCTTAAAAAAATGATGGATATCAAAAGTGAATGACCACTAAAGTAGTGCTGTCTAAACTGTGAGTCGCGGCACACTAGTTCGAATAGCACAAATCGGTTGATCGAAAAGAAATCCGGCACCACGTAGATGTGACTCTGGCATGCTGCTGGACTCAAATCTAATCCAATAACATGCCAGAGTTACGCTAGCTTGGTGCCGGATTTCTATTCGATTAACCGACTTGTGCTATTCAGATAGTGTGCTGCAGAAAATTTTACGAAATGTTACGAGCCACATGTTGTGTGTAAGTTTAGTCATGGTTTATAACCACAAGTCTAATGTCACGAAAAAGGTTGGACAGCACTGTTTAAAAGGGTTGCTTAACTTTCTGTATCACAAAGCTCAAAAGTGAGTTGCTCAAAAATGTCGTAGAACAAAGAATAAAAGATTTGAGTCCAAAAGAGTTGCTTAATTGATTAGATAATCCCTAACATGAATGCACTTCTAAATTCACTACGAGTGTCCATACCTCGTTTAAAAATCTTCATGATCAAAAAAAATCTTCTCATTATTCTTACTTCCATAATTTGGCCTCACTCGTTTATCATATCCTTCCATAAGCGAGTCCAATATACTTGATACACTTGAATTCTGCTGTGCGCTAATAAGAAAGATAGAAACACGAAATATGAATGAATAGTTTTAGTTGCTACAATGAGATAATGAGCCTACGATTAAGTTTAAATGAACGAGGGGAAATATTTTAAATTACTAAATTTTATAATAGGAAAATTGTGATTAAATTAAGCTCAATTAAATTTTTATCACACAACTCACCTAACATTGCTGAATATGAAATTTGAAAACACAATTATCGAAATTATTATTTTAAAATTCAACATCCTGAAAATTCAAAATTGATGATGAACAAAATAGTTTCACTTCTATCACGATGAAAATATCACACTCAAATAAGCTTGTTACAGCTATGATACTCAATTTTATATTTTATTTGATAGGAACAAATCACACTCACGCGTGAGAGATACGGTGATGAATGCAACGTATCACAATATTTATTATGTATGTGAATATCTCAATTTGTATCATTTAAGCATAGCAATGCTTCATATTATGAATAATTTTGTTTAGAACCGTTCAAAGGTTTTCGAGAAATATTTGTGAGGTTCTAGTCAAGCTTGATATTTTAAAATACATTTGAATTCATCGATAAGAGTGTCTTCAAAACTTTTTTAGTCGGCGACAAACCTTGATTGGAAGCCATGGCCAAATGCATACGGTTAGAGAGATTTTCCGAATTTTTTGGCGACACATAGTTGCACATAGTTTGCAATTCACTGATTTAAATTAATGTTTTTAAAATTAAAGTTCAACTATAAAGCAGGAATTCACTTTTAAAAGAATAAGTAGCGGATATTGAGGTTTAGCATAAAAAAAGGTGGTCTAAGAAGTAATTTTTCTAGTTGTATAAGATGTTAACACACAAATACTATGGATCCTCGATTTGAGTAGATTCGATTTGAACAGGAGCAAAACAGCTACTCAATTCGAGGCTCCTCAGTAGTTTAAACTACCATGGAGTTTAAAATTAAATAAAGAAAGCAAAAAAAGCCATTAAATGCCAATTTTACAAACAATTGTGCTGCTAATCTCACTTTTGAACTCAAATCTAGTTAAAATCCTTCAATATTTTTTCTCGACATTCTTATTAAATTTTGGTATGACTGGTCCAACTTTAAAAATTCTTTTGGAGTGCTTAATCATTCGAACTAAAATGAAGAATATGATTTCACACATGCTTAGGATGCTCATTCCTAGACAAAGGGAAAATGCTCCACCAAGATTAGCTGAAAAAAATAAGAAATAGAAAATTAATTGGGTTATTTATCCAAATGTATAACACTGATACAGAAACTCTCAGATTTTGTAGTATTTATTCCTCATAATTCGCTTACTTATTACTTCTGGGGGTTTAGGACAGTATGGGGCTTTAATTTTTTTAACAGAACGAGAAGAGGCTCAAAAGGGAAGTTTAATTTTACACAATATTAAACCCCAAATAGCAAAAGCCGGTAAGTCGAATAGAAATTAGGCTCTAATCTAGCGTAACTTTGACATGACAGTGCTCTATTCGACTAACCGACTTGTGCTTTTCGGGAACTGCCCCTAAACTTAATTGCATTTGCATAAACAATATTATTATGACTTTAAACACTGCTTAAAGACAAAGTAGGAAACAGTTTGGATCAAAGCTGAAATTTTGTATGGAGTCGAGTCGACTTCGAGCTTAGGTTTGGATATTTTCATTAAACTCTCTTCATCTGTATTCTTCAAACTTTAACAACTCTACTTACACAGCAAGGATATCCACGACATAACAACAATCTTTTTATTAGCAGCAACTCGTTGACCACCAAAAAATATACGAACAATGAATTCTGTATCTGTTATGTTAGTGTAAGTGCTGAAAAAACAATTCATGCTTAAAATTGAGGATTAGTAGACATTAGAATAAATACTTACTACAAATCATCAATTGCATGCTCAAGTTGATCAATATTCATTTTGAATGAAGTTGTTTTATAGACAACATCTGAACATGATGGAAAGCAATGGTCACATTTTGCTGTTTTAAATTGAACTGGAAGGTTTAAAAAACAAAAGCTTTTTAAGAATTTTTTACGGAGCTTTAAAAGGCGTGGAACTGATTAAATCTCCATTTATCATTTCCGCATCTTCTACTTCATCTGATAGGATTTTAAATATTTTTTATGGAACACTTAGGGCTACCACGTTGATTGTCTAAGTACTTAAAACTTACAATAGTTATCAACCATGCACAATATATCAACAGCTCGACAATTCTTCAAAAAATTCGTCTGATTTGATGCTTTTGGTAAATGAAATGGATGACACAAGCATCTTCGATGAATTTCATCTCTTAAACATTCAAGCATACATTCCGGCTGTCGATAGTTCGATTTTCCTTTATCTTTGGGAATAATGCATTTCCGTTGTGCAAATGGCAGAACTAAAACTTGATCTGAACATGATGATTGAATCGGTTGGATGTCAATAAACGTTTCTTTCTTTAAGTCAATATAAGTTGTGGGTGCACTTTCTACAGCAAAGTCATTTGGATGATGAACAATTACAACAAATCCTTCAGAATAGATTGCACCTGATCGACCGTCACTTGCTTGTGGGCGTCCTATTAAGGATAAATTATGAATCAATGCTTAGTAAAACGTAATTGTTGCTTGAATGAAAAATATTAAAACATTCTGCAAATAATTGGATTTTAATGATAACTTTTGAATGTATATGAAGGAAGTGTCATTCACAAGTAGCAACAAATAATTGCAATTAATCTACAGATTACCCACCAGTTCCAATAACACTCAATCCTCCATCAATTCCAAATGTGTTTGCCTTAAAAAACTCTGCAGTTGATACTGTATCCGGATGGTAATTGAAAGAGCAACAAGCACCTAAATATGAATAGGATTCCTCGAACTTCAAATATGGATGTTGCTACAGTGAAAATGATAGACGTAGACACAAAACTAATTAGGAGACTAAAAATAATCTTCGTACCTGAAAGCATGGAAACTTTTTCCCAGCAAATACACAAACAAGCAAAAAGTCAGCACAAACCGTACCGAGCTTATCGATTGCTGCCTTTACTGTCAAATTATTTGCGTCTAGGATTGCATCAATCATTTCCAAATCTTCAATTCGTGGGACGATCCATTGTCTTTCGGTGAAGCCAGCTAATAATGGCAATATTTCTAATGTATATTCAGGCGTAGCACCAAGTGGAAATTTTCTATGGAAAATCAAATACTGATTAATAATTAATGAAAAACATTCTAGAACAAACAACCTACGCTGTTTGAAGAAACTCTTTAGATTTATATTCCATAACATTCTGAGGATGGCAGATTGTTATCCCAGGAAATGGAATCTCATGAATGGACATCGGGGATGCAATTGTAACGCGTGTGGGCGAGTCAAGAAATCTTCGATAAAGCAAATATATAAGAGCTGCAGCAAATGACAGTAATGAGACAATAATGCAACTCCATAAAATTCTCTGAAATCCATGAGTTATGAAACGGCGCAAATAATACATTCCATTCACTTTTGTAATATCTGCAAACTCATAAAACGTATCGATGATTACATTAATTATTTTTTTAATTGCTGTTTCTTTGTGATACTTTTTAGGATTGACTAGGAGCACGTTGCCAGGCTTTTTTGGCTTCTTTAACTTTTTATCTTTTGGAATTAAAATCTTTTTCTTTTTCTTGATGAGCTGCTCTTGGGACCAATTTCGAATGAAATCGAATGGCAATCGCCGCTTTTTTGTAAGCAAGGATTGGGATGTTTCTTGCTTTTGAAATGCTGACTGCTGATTTGTTGAGACTTTCGAAGTTTTGTTGAACTGATTAGTGTCCTGAAATGTAAAAATTATTGAAAATTTGATGTAATAGATGCAGGATCTTTAATTATGATGGTTAAGTCACTTTATTAAGGAAGAGTTTATGATAAATTATTTCGATCATTAATATTTTGTTACCTGCAAGTTTGATTTTGGCTCTAAAGTTCCATTAACATTTCCAGAAAAATTTGCTTCCAAAATTTCATTAGAATTCTCTGCATTTTGAATTTTGTCATTCTGATCCTTAAATGTTTCAGAACTTCCAGCTAAATTAACATTAGATATTTCCACTTTCTTCTTCTCATCTGCTTCCTTAGACAATTTTGCCTTTATAACTGCAAACATGTCGATTGAAGACTTTTGCTACATTTTTGGAATGTCCGGTCTTTTATATACTAAGAAACTATTGCCATTTACAGTAATTATGCTCATAAAAGATCGTTAAAATAAATTGCATATGATTTGTGTTTTCTCTGAAGCTTTTGAAATATTGATGTGAAATGTAATAGTCTACAAGGGCTTGAACAATGTATTAATTTAGTTGTATAGAATTTTTTGAATAGGGAGGTTCACATGATGTATTGAAATGTGGTTAAATTTATCGAGTCAATGCTTGTTAAATCGAAAGTCGTGACTTACTGCAAGGGAATTAGCAAGGTGATTTGCAATAGACACTGTTGAAGCATTGGAATTTCCGGATTTTTTTAAAGTGAATTTTAATTTCTCGACATTATTTATTTTAAGAAATCTATTCATGCAATTTGAGATTAGACATGACTTAAGTGAGAGTGGATATTTATTTTATCATTATTCAGTACCAGTCTTCGTGACACTAATTGTCATGGATTTAGATCACCAAAAGTTGAAAGTATACTAAGCCTCAATGTTAAACGCCGGAAATTCTTGCGACTTTGTGCTGAAAATTCACAAATTTTTATTTTGTTTCTGGATGTCCAAATTTAGTTTGGCTGTATTACAAAAATATAAAGCACAAGAATCTGTTGAATTCAGTTTTCTCTTTCATGAGAATTTAGCTGTACACATAAATTTTGTTTATTGTTTATTTTTGGATCAGACATATGTTGTTGAACTGAAACAGGGTCGCAGCTAGAATTTTTTCAGGAATATGCATTGACAAAAACAGCGGGTGAGACTAATATAAAGTCACCCGAAAAAACCAAAGCAAATTTGATTTCAGATTTGATTCCAAAAACTTCTCCCTCGATACGCTTCTGAATGCACAGAAATTCGTGGAATCTTCGAGATATTAAATTTCTCTGAACTGCATTATCAATGTTGTTTTTTATTTTATTTTGTTTTTGTTGAGTGTTGTCGTTTCATGCTTTGTTGCTTTACTTGATTAATTAATTAATTAAATCGTAAATTAAATTATTGATAATCAAAATGCCCAGAATAGCACAGGTTGGCTAATCAACTAGAAATCCGGTGCAATGCTGGCATGACTTTGGCATGGTGCTGGCTATGATTAAAATCCAGCACCTTGTCA